TGTAAGTATAACATTTTTACTTTATAACATTTTATAAATACATAATATATGTGTTGTTCATTAATTATAATACTAACTATAATGTTGATAATGCAGAAATGCTGATGGAAGGCCCACAACAATTTAGATTTTAGTTATTTTTTGTTTTACTTATTCAGTGAATTTCAAACAAATGTAATAAATTCTTATTTTTATTACTTTAATTATGCAATGTCAATATTTTCTTTTAAAATTACATATATTTTATGCTAACAATTTGAAAATATGTTTGACATAACTATGAATGTTTTTTTTTTTTTTTAAATTTAATCCCGTGCATAGCACGGGTGATATGCTAGTATCTATACTTCTATACTATATATTAAGCAAAAGGGAGTATTTAACCACAAGCCTTGTGGGAGCTCCAATCTCCCAATCTAAATTTCCTGATTTTTTGACTTTAAAAAAAAAAAAAATCTTAGCATTTATTAACTTCTCCCAACTCCCAAGTCTTACCCTTATAATAATACTTTAATGCATTAAGAACAAGTATAAAAAAAAAATTCTTTGAAATCCAACACATATGAATTCCTTGAAAAGTCCTAACACATATGATTATTATCCCTTATAATAACACTTTAATGCATTAAGAACAAGCATAAAAAAAATTTCTTGAAAAGTCCAACACATATGATTACTATCAAAATATTAAACTTTAATATAATATTGAGAAGTTGGTAAAAAGCTGAATTTTAACTTTTTACTAAGCTATTTGGCTTTTTTAGAAAATGATTTGAGAAGTTGGTAAAAAGCTAGTTTTTGACTTTTTTAGTTAATATTTGTTTATGGCATCAAATCAAAATAAAATGACCAAAATAACCTTGCCAAACTTTGAAATTCTACATAATTTGTTAACATAGTTGGCTCAGCTTTTTTCCATAGCAACAAAAACGCAATCCAACATATGAATTCCTTGAAAAGTCCCAACACATATGATTATTATCCCTCATAATAACATTTTAATGCATTAAGAACAAGAATAAAAAATTTCTTGAAAAGTCTAACACATATGATTATTATCAAAATATTAAACTTTAATATAATATAAAAAAAGAAAAAAAGAAGACATTTAAAAAAAATATTTAAAAATCACAATTCACATATATAGTTAATTACTTGAAAAATCCAACACATATGATTATTATCAAAATATTAAACTTTAATATAATATATAAAAAAAGAAGACATTTAAAAAAAAAAGACATTTAAAAATTACAATTCACATGTATCGAAATAATTGTGAAGTACATATGAATTCCTTGAAAAGTCCAACATATATGATTATTATCCCTCATAATATCATTTTAATGCGTTAAGAACAAGCATAAAAAAAATTCCTTGAAAAGTTCAACACATATGAATTCTTTGAAATTTCAACACAAATAATTATTATCAAAATATTAAACTTTAATATAATATAAAAAAGAAAAAAAAAATAAGACATTTAAAAAAAAGAAAAAAAGAAGACAAAGTGGTGAAACACAAACCGTGAATAGCACGAGTGATGTGCTAGTATTATTTTATATAAAAATCAAATTAAAATGTTTATACAATCACACCTATTTAGGGAGCGTGGTTAAAAAATATATAATCACACTTATTTAAAAAGTATAATTAAAAGTAAATCTATATATTATATAAGGAAAATAGAGTTTCTAACCCACAAGTCTTGTGGTAATTCCAATATCCCAATCTTAATTTTCCAATTTTTTGATTTAAAAAAAAAAATTTCAGCATTTATTGACTTCTCTCAATCCACAAGTCTTTTTGACTTCTCTCATTGTTACTGTAACACCCTTTTCAACTTCTCTCATACACTATGGTTGCTGATGGGATTGTTAAATTATTTTTATAAAAAATCTAAAAAAATAGCAATTAATCCATTTAAAACGAAAGTTAATTAATCTATTTAAATATTTAAATAACTTTTATGCCTTGATTTACATATTTCAAAAGGAAAATTAATTAATTCATTTAAAAATTTGAATTTCAAAGGAAAGTTAATTAATCTATTTAAAAATTTAAATGGCTTCTATGCCTTGATTTAAACATTTTGAAAGGAAAGTTTATTAATTCATTTACAAATTTAAATTAAAAAAGAAAGTTAGTGGCTTGGTTTGGGAAGTGGGTTGGCTTTTTGACTTTTTGGCATTTTTGACTATTTTAGCTTGGGCTAAAAAGCTTGGTTTGGAAATGACTTTTTGGCTTTTTTAATTTTTTTGTGAGAGAAGAGTGTAATGATTATGAGTTAGATATGATGTTTTGTTTTTTGTGGCTAAAATAGCCTATTTTGTCTTTTGTGGCTAAAATAGCCAAAAAAGCCCCCAACCCAACTTGCCAAATGGAATCTATTTAAAATTTTAAATAACTTTTTTGCCTTGATTTACACATTTCAAAAAGAAAGTTAATTAATTTATTTAAAAATTTAAATTTAGAGATTGAGAAGGAAAGTTAACTAAAATATAAATTTGAATTTAAATTTTGATACTACTAAAATATAGGAATTAATCTAAATCTTTCATATATTTTTTTTCTTAATGTTTAATAATTTTATATGCATCGATATTCCAATCTATATATCTATATTATAGCAAACTAACATTTCATTAAAAAAAAAAAATCATTAAACCTCCAAAGATTAGTGATATAGATAGAATCAAACAAAATATGCAGGTCTTAGAGTTTTAAAGTAAAAAATTTATGTTAGAATTTGTTCAAATGTAATTCTCTTAATATTTATAAATATTTGTTATTGATTGAAAAAAAGCACCATAAACATTAAGATTATTGTTTTATTATTATTATTATATCGAGTTATTAAAATAAGATGTATTATATGCTTAAACCAAGAATTGTTGGGGGAAAAAAAAAATTGACTCAAACTAAATTTTCTAGACTCATTTTTAATATTTAATCTAATATTTGAACCCTCAAACTAACTTATCTCGGTTACAAAAATCGATAAAGATAATTTTAAACAATCAAGACAATTTTTAATGACTAGGTGAATGTCACATTGACATAAATATTCAGTCAATTAGTTTTCAGGTCACTTCTAATATTTAGCCCAACACCACAAGTCAATTTAATCCATTTCCACATAAGAGTTATAGCAACAATTTTAAGTAAACAAATTTTTAGGTTTTACAAAATAAGAAAAAATTAGTATATTAAAAAATATAATTTATTATTAAAATTAAAATTGCGAAACTTATAAAATGAAATGTATTTATATTTTATTGTAAATAAAATTTTTGTAATTTATTATTTAAATTTTACCAATTAAATTATGACATGTAGATTTTTATAAGAACTTAGGAAATACAATTAACGACATTAGAATAAAAATCTTCACTTAATGTAACTCTAATAAAAATCAATAAAATTCAATTGATTATAAATCACTTTTACAATATTTCAAATAAATTTTATATTATTATTTTAATTTAAAAATTAATTTTTAATTATTTATTTATATTTATACATAACACGAGTAATATGCTAGTTATTTATTAAGCATTAATCTAAACTAACTTGACTTTTCATGTCTTGCCGAAAGTTCCACCATAATGAAACTTGAAAATTTCAAAAAATGATAATTTGGAAATACGTGTCAAATTTGGCTGCAATAATGCTATGGTTACTTACATTCCTACTCACAACTCCACCGAAAGCTCACATGGCATCCATATCACTTTACTGGGCCCACTCTCATAAACAAAAGAATTAAAAAAAAATACGAATCACAAAAAATCTATTTACTCAACTTCGTGGGCCCTACATTCCTTCATTACAATTACATTGAAGAACAAAATTGAGAGTTTTGTAACTTTTCTTCATTACACGCCTCTTCTTCAGGCGAGAAAGAGGTGTAATGAAGAAAAGTTGCAGAACTCTCAATTTTGTTCTTCAATGTAATTGTAATGAAGGAATGTGGGCCCACGAAATTGAGTCAATGGATTTCTTGTGATTCGTATTTTTTTTTTTTTATAATTTTTTTGTTTATGAGAGTGGGCCTAGTAAAGTGATATGGATGCCATGTAAGCTTTCGGTAGAGTTGTGAGTAGGAATGTAAATAACCATAGCATTATTGATTTGGCTGAGTAAAACTGGAGGGAAGGCATGCATTTAGCTTAGGTAAATGTCATAGATCCAAATGAATTATCAAAATTTTTACTAAATCTTTTATATGAGTGTGAGACCTACGCATATAATTTGTGTGAGTCCTACACTTATCTGAGAGATTTGGTAATTCATTTGAGGTCTCTAGTATAACTCTTTAGCTTAAACCTGACTTTAATAAAAAATTTCAAATTGATGGGTGATTATTGAGTATTTTTGAAATATAGACATGTGGCATTCTATAAGGTTTTGATTAGTAGAAAGGGATAAAGACTCATGATGTATATTAAAAATGAAAAATAATATGAGAACTAAGTAATTGATGATTGATTTAGAATATATTTGTATAATATTAAGAAATTATTAAATAATTTTTCCAAATTGAGTTTTGACATTTTGTGTAGTCTGACGTGTCAAAGTTTGGCACAATATAAGAGTACTTGATTGATTTTGGTTCTACTTCCTTCGCTTCCTCATATGAAAAATTATTGGCTGGTACAGAAGTATCACGTTTTTATCAATTACAAATCATCATATACTTGTATTTTTTTGATTATTTAACACAAAATCGTAAGCTACGTCAATCATAAGACCGTCGGGCACACCCAACCGTAGCAGGACCACCTGACGGTAGCACGGTCAACCAATAACTTCTCTCCTGATATACGGAACAGCCGTTGGAGATTTTTTCCCAAGTGGGTGAGCTGAGCTGAAGAGCTGTTTCTGACATCACACATCATCACCTCTATTTATTTGGCTCTCTCTGCGTGTCTCCTTCACACAAACCCTTCTCTCTCTCTCTTTCTCTTTCTCTCTCATACACACACACATACACAGAGAGAGAGAGAGAGAAGATGGAGAACGGATCATCGACGGCGGTGAGATGGGGTTTCCAAGGGAACAAAGGGCTGAGCAAGGCGTCGGCGATCACCATTAGAGGAATTCTGAACGAGGTTATGGAAAACATCGACAAAGCAGACCCTAGGCCCATCATTCCTCTCGGCCACGGCGACCCCTCTGCTTTTCCCTGCTTTCGTACCACTCCTTTCGCCGAGGACGCCATCGCCGACGCCGTCCGATCCGCCAAATTCAACGGTTATTCTCCTACCGTCGGTATTCTTCCGGCTCGAAGGTATGTATCTTTCTTAGTTTTCTTTTTCAGGCGTCAAAACACACACAACGACACAATGTAATATATAATAATACAATAATGAATGATTCGAAACACACAAAACAACGTGGTTTTAAATATAAAACGATATTATTTTGACACAATTAAGCCACAAAAATTCAGACTATCAAACATTTTTCATAATAATAATAATCATATTATATGGTCAATGTTATGGTATCCTTAAATATTTGGGCTCATACTATTCAGTGTGTTTGGTTTGAATTTTTTAGATTAAGTTTTTTAAAAATTGGGTTTTTTGATTCTTTTGGTGTTTTTTTTTTTGTTTTTAGTGAATATTTTTTAAATTTTAAATATTTTTTTTTACTTTTTTAGATGCACCTTACTTAAATGTATCCAAAAAGTAAAAAATTTGTGAAATAATATTTTAAAAAATTAATAAATACATAAAAATATAAAAAATATACTGAATTCTCGTATTATTTTATTTTATTTTGGGTACTTAGTGAATTTTTAAAAAAAAAAATTTTAATTTTCTTTTTTTACTTTTTAAGTATATTTATGTTAGGTATGTTTAAAAATTTTAAAAATTATTTAAAATATTAAAAAAATCAATAAAAATAAAAAAACACAAAAATTAAAAAAATAGAATCTTCTCAAAAGCACTTTTAAAAAATGATAACCAAACAAGGTGAATGTATTTTAGAATATTCTGTCTTTTCTGATGGTGGCTGACTCGACTTTGCACCGACAACTTTCAACTACTATTAAAGAATATTAAAATACTAGTTGAATTCATGCATTTTTGATGGGTTGAAGTGATGTTTTTAAGGTTAAATTATACAAATATTATTTTAAAAAGTTGGTAAAAAATTAATTTTTTAATTTTTTTTATCTATTTTATTTTTTTATGAATAAAAAATGTGAAAAGTGACTGACTTTGAGCCCTTCTCAAACGATCTTTAAATGATCAAGATTAAAGTGACATTTGATTAACGGATGAAAATATACAAATTAAATGAAGAAGGTTAAAGTGATATTTGATTGAGTGGTGGTAATTTATTCTAAAATTTATATTTATTTTTCATACACAATGATATTATAGTTTATTAAAATAGGAAAGAAAAATATTATATAAACTCACGTTTTAAGATTGAGATCTTCTCAACTCCCTTACATGATTTAAGAATTAATATTTTAAATTTAAAAAGAATTATTACAAACTTTTAAATAATTCAATGGAGATCCTTCTTTACAATTTTGAAATGGAGGATTACAAATCCAATTTTTAGACCAAAAGACAACACATGTCAGGTCGCAGCCTTTCCTGTGCTGTAGCAGCTTCCGGCCATTTCCTTTAAATATAGGTAGTATAAAAAGTGAAATGATTAGTTGATGATTAACGAAGATATGAGAGAGAGAGAGTTGCATTATAAATATTTTAATTGTTATATTATTGAGCCTTCGTTTGAGAAGTGGGTTGACTTTTTAGTTTTTTGGCTATTTTAGCCTGGTTTGAGAAGGGTTTTTTGACTTTTTGACTTTTTTTGTGAAAGAGGATTGTAATAATTATGGGTTGGATTTGATATTTTATTTTTTATGACTAAAATAATTTATTTTATTTTTTGTAGCTATTTTAGCAACTAACTCACCCAAATCTCCTTGCCAAACCCACCATGAGTTTGAAAAGTTGGTTTAATTTTTTAACTTTAAATAGACTCAACAAAACATTTAGAACAACTCTCTCAGATATTCTCTGATCTATCACTTACACATATATATCATTTTTTCTATTTGATGATTTTATGGTGTAACTATTTATTACTGTATGCAATAATCTTTGAACATAAATTTATTTCACGGACCATATAATTTTCCTTGTACATTTTTCGTTTTTTTTTTTTTTTTTTTTTTTTTTTTTGAATTTTGAAAGTAAAAAAAAAATAACAACACCTAATTAGTACATATTAATGTGTATTTAGTAAGGGAAAAATTGAGTACACACCTAATCTTTAGCATAATGTACAAGATAGTTGCCTCATAACTTGAACCTATAATCTCAAGATTATTAGACCAAGGTTTTTGAACCTTAACGTCATGTTTGATTCACAATACTAATAGTGAGGTATTAATAATCCTATTAAATTAGTGTGGTATTAACTATCCTACCCTACCCCATTACTAATAATCCTACAAATTTGTTAGATTAATTATCCATTGGATTAATAGTCCTAAACCAAAATGTCAAAACAAACATAGGATGATTGGGCCCACGGATTAATAATCCTAATCCCATGCTTTAATCCTTCCAATCAAACATGTCATAAAAGTATTGTATAAAAATTAAGGATGGAACCAATTTTCAATGGTCCTTGTGGGGGTGAGAGATCTGGCAGTTTATCAACTGCTCAATCACTCAACATCCCACATCGTCGGCAACCGATTTAATTTTTTTGATCTTTGACGACTCTACACTTCGTTTTCAATTTCAATCGGTTATGTACAACCACTAGTCAATCATTCGGCTTCGTTTGGGAATAAGTTTTTTTAATAATTTTTTTATTTTTTAGCTAAAATGTAATGTAAAAAAAAATAGTATGTTTGAGATGATTTTTGACTTTTTACAAAAAGATGTGTAAAAAATTAAAAAAATAAAATAAAATTTTAAACTTTTTAATATGAATTTTTAATTTTTTAATTAAAAAAATCACTTGCCAACCAAGGCTAACTCACCACCATTCTAACTGGTGCCAACCAACCACCTATCTCATTTCCTCACTACACTACCTAGCTTTCTTATCAACCATTGCTGCCATAAACCATAGCCTGTAAAATGTTTCTGTCCAATCACTGAAGCTAAAATCATAGGCAATAGTAACTAAGAGCATCTATAAGTAGATGTGTTAAAATTATTTATGAAAGTGTATCTTATGATAAAAAATAATGAAAGTGAGACTTAAAAATGTGTGTTAAGGTGTGTTAAGAGTTTGTTAATTTTAAAGAGTGAGTGGTGATATAATGAATGTGTTAAGAAGTGTGTTAAGTGATATATAAATATATTATATATAATATATCTGTCCTCTCTCTCTCTTTCTCTTTCCAGCACAAAGATGGATTCATTGCTAGCAAAATTTCTTTCTCTCTTCCACTTTGATTCAGAACCAAAACCCCCAACTTCCAACACACCCTTTCCCTGCAAGTTGTTGTGTTGCATTCCTATTATCTAAAATCAAACCCCACAACCACCCAACAAACCAAAGATCTTAAATAACCAAGAAAGAATGATTTTTTTTGTTTTTTTGAAATGGATATTGGGATTTCTATAATGGGTTTTCAAAGATTCAAGCTTGAAACCAAACTTGGGGTTGTGGCAATGGTTGTGTTGATGGTGCGTTGTAGAGGAGGAAACACTGATGGAGAGTGCAAGTGATTGCAAATTTTTTTTTTTTACTTAAACGGTCCAGACGTTCGGAAAGACATCCGGCCGGACTTTCCCACGCCACTTTCCCACGTCCCCCCCTCTCTCTCCCTCGCTGGCTAAAACGCTGGGTGTAGTTAGCAGCTTTGCTAACATCTGACACTAATTTGAGCCTTTAGCTAGCCCATTAACAGCTCCATTGCAACACCCAAAGTGATTTTCAACTAGTTAAAATTTAGTGACTGACACTAAAACACTGCTTAACACATTCATTGTGGATGCTCTAATCCACAAATGGATAGCATGTACATGCTTATTTTTTGGCAAAACAATGTTCATAAATATTAGTTGAAATTTACAGGTATACATCTCTATACATATATGATATATGTGTTAGTTATTATTGTACATGAAAACTTAATGATTATTCTTAGAAGTACTTTTTTTTTTTTCCTCTTTGAAAAAGCAATAAATATACTAGGATGACTTTTTTGTTTAAAGGTCTGAAACCTACTAGGATGACTTTTTTGTTTAAAGGTCTGAAACCATTATGGTGGTATCTCTTATATTATATAAATTATTTATTTTAATGTTATTAATAATTTTATAAAAAAATATAAATAAAGTCTAATTTTAACAAATTTAATTAACTTAGTTGCACTAAAAACTAAAATAAAATAAATTAAAATTTATGTGTAATTCGGATTTAACTCGGATCGGACTTGAGCAGATAATCTTGATAGCTCTCAGCACAACTTGTGCTGGATTTAGACAACCTCTCAATCCGTCAGAACCCGCCCGAGTTGCACTCTTAATACCCTCTCTCTCGGGATGGATCTAGAATTTGAACTTCGGAGGGTAAAAACATATGTAACTTTTTATTGAAAAATGTTATTATAAAATTTTAAATTTTGAATTATACTAGCACAAAAAAATGAATAATATTATTATTAATCAGCAAGGACCCTGACTCCGGCCCAAATCAGCTCGGCCCATTGTTAGGTCATAAACCTCCCTCTCAACATACTAGGTCATTTTGTATAATTGACATTACATTCTCTTAGCCATATGTGTCCAATATAATTGCACTCTCTACTGTCTTTTTGAAATTTCACTTTCCTTGTACACTCAGCAATTAACGGTTATTAGACAAAATTGATTTGAAATCTCTTTATTTGCTTACTGCTTCAAACATCTGGTACATGTTGAACAGTCCACTGAGCATTTTATTATAAGTTGGTTGCTAATATATGTACCGACTTTGGAGGGGAAAGTATGTGTTCAATCCTACCACATGGAATCAAATTTCTTGAAATTACTGAAAAGCTAAAAAAAGAAAATGCTTCAAATTACAAAACATATTTATGGTCCATTGTAAATTTGTGATTCACTAAATTTTTGATGCCCAAAGTGTATTTGCATTCCTTTTCTGTGTCCATCTCAAGAAACATTCCGAAAACTGTCTTAATCCATCAAAGGCAAATCCCAATTTCAAGGGAGTTTCCACTCCACACACACCCAAAAAAAAAGAGAAAAAAAAATGTATGAAGAACGACAAATCATTCATGTTATAAAATAGAAATGAAAAAGTAAAAAAAGAGAAATGTTCTTTCTCATGGAAACCAATCCGTTTCATTCTTACACCTTTATTTTTAAATAGGGCCATAGCAGAGTACCTCTCAAAAGATCTTCCATACAAGTTGTCACCAGACGATGTTTATTTGACAATTGGATGTACACAAGCAATTGAAGTTATGTTAACAGTTCTTGCTCGTCCAAATGCAAACATTCTGCTCCCAAGACCAGGCTTCCCACTCTATGAAGCCCGTGCTGCATTTAGCCATCTTGAAGTCCGCCACTATGATCTTCTTCCAGAGAAAGGTTGGGAGGTAGATCTTGATGCAGTTGAAGCTCTAGCAGATGAAAATACTGTCGCTATGGCTATTATTAATCCTGGCAATCCTTGTGGGAATGTCTTTACATACCAACATTTAAAGCAGGTGTGTGTTTAATTTTGTAAAGTTAGAAATGTGTATGCTAGTAATATCATGGTTTTTGGTTGTAATGTTGGTCGTTGATGGTCTACTTTCTTAGGTTGCTAAGACTGCAAGAAAGCTTGGAATATTAGTGATTGCTGATGAAGTTTATGATCATCTTACTTTTGGGAGTAACCCATTCGTGCCCATGGGAGTCTTTGGATCAATTGCACCTGTTATTACAGTTGGGTCTATATCCAAGAGGTGGATTGTTCCAGGTTGGCGACTTGGTTGGCTTGTCACAAATGATCCCAATGGCATCCTTGCAAAATATGGGGTTCTCTCTCTCTCTATCTCCCTCTCTCTCTCTCCCTCCCTCCCCTTGCATGTTTTCTCATGCCATAGCAGTGTCCCCCTTATTTAGTCCAAACAAGTATAGAACAAATTAACTCAATGTGACGAGTATTAGCCATTTGATTTAAAAACACATTCTGAGAAAAATTATTATTGAAGTCATCAAATTCAAGGGGGGTTATTCAACATGAAAAGTTGTAGTGTTGCTTCTGATCGGCCTTCTTAGAGTGCATCAAAAAATTTTGATAAAAAATTAAGCTGTAGTAAGTTACTCAAGAAAGAATTCCTTCTCTTTGTGTTGTGTAATGTTATGGCAGAATTGTATTGTTGTTTATTTGATCGGCCAAAAAAAATCTGCTCTAACAACACAAAGAGAAGGAATTCTTACTAGATGTTTGGCTTTCCAGAGGCATTGTAAATTACATTCTACGTTACAGTGGCATAGAAAATTTTCTATTATCCAATTTGAGGCTTGGTACTTGAAGTTGTTACCAACAAGCTGTTGCTTTTTTGTTTTCTCATTGAATGTGGTAAAGTTGTGAGGAAATTCTAGTCTTTGAGTCTTTCTAAAATGAAGTGGTATTGTTCCTAAAACAACAAAAACCTAGCAAAGCTGTATTTTACATCTGTTATGACTACCATGCCACCTAATCCAACATGAATATTGTGCCAAGGAAACAATACAGGTTTTGATATTTGCAGGTGGTCCTTCTGTGATGGTGTGGTTGACTGACCACTGATCTTTTCTTAAGATTGCTGGTTTTTATTCCTTAGTTCTTTCATTATTTTATATAACCTAGTGGCAGTGGACATTGAAACTTCATATAAAATAGCATTTGAAGTACATTTTAGAAATCTTAATGTGGTATATCCCTAACTAAAAAGTACACCCAATATAGTAGGATCCTATGTTACCAATTCAAAAAATAGATGCTTAGAGTGTAAGGCAATTTGAAAATAAAGCAATGACAAATCATTTTATGATTATTTAATCAATTGGTTCAGGATGTCCAGAAATACAATCTATAGTATACTAGTTGCCTATTGAAGTAATGTTTCCTCTCTCAAAGGAAATTTAAATAAAAAATTGATTTTAAAAATGGGATTGAAGCAGGGAAAATTGGTATATTTATTGGTATTGGGTGGTGTATTGTTTTCAAATGACAAGGAAGATGATGAGCTGCCTTTTTTCATTTGAAATTTTCTTATCAAAATTCTATTTGTACTGTGCTTACTATATGTAAGGCAAGTGAAATGATATTGATGCTTCTTACTGATGCTCTGTTTCAAATTTACCATGATTCCCTTGATGTTTCACATGAAACTTATGTCTATTTTCTTCTTTCCAGATAGTTGACTGCATTAAGGGCTTTCTAAATATTTCCGCTGACCCGGCAACTTTCATTCAGGTTTGTTGTTCAAAATGCTTTTTCTGAATAACAGACACTAAGAATTGAAATTTCAATACTATTAGAATTCAAAAGATACAGCTAAGATGTGCTGATAAAAAATACATACAACAAAGAAGTTCTAATCTTGTGTTACTGCTGAAGCCCGGAAATGTTAGATGAATCAAATCAAGAATTTTCCATTGGAGAGTTGAAGTAGGTAGCAGTAAGGATATGGCATAAGAATAATGTGTATTACAGAAACATAAACCCCCCCCCCCGCCAAAAAAAAAAAGAAAAAAAAAAAGAAAAGAAAAGAAATTGTTAAAGCATGCATCACAAAACACGTCCATAGAGGTTATAAGTTGGTTGAAAATCTTGAGTACTTTGCCTTTTAATGGCTCATGTAACAGAGCAAAGCTATGGTCATGATTCATTTCTTATCAAATTATCCACTGCTGAATTCCTTATGGTTAACTTTTTATTTAAATTATTTATTGTTTGTGTCATTGGCCAAAAAAAAGAAATAGGAAGAAATATACATTTACAAATACACTATTTACTTATTTATTTTTAATTTTTTGTGATTCGTCATGGTGGGCAATTTACATTGTCTCTGATGTATTCTGTCAACTACATTGTTTCCATAATTTAGTTTGATTTATATTATACAAATAAAATTCATCCAAGAATTTGTATTGTGATAAGTTGGTTGAAAATCTTGAGTACTTTGCCTTTTAATGGCTCATGTAACAGAGCAAAGCTATGGTCATGATTCATTTCTTATCAAATTATCCACTGCTGAATTCCTTATGGTTAACTTTTTATTTAAATTATTTATTGTTTGTGTCATTGGCCAAAAAAAAGAAATAGGAACAAATATACATTTACAAATACACTATTTACTTATTTATTTTTAATTTTTTGTGATTCGTCATGGAGGGCAATTTACATTGTCTCTGATGTATTCTGTCAACTACATTGTTTCCATAATTTAGTTTGATTTATATTATACAAATAAAATTCATCCAAGAATTTGTATTGTGCTTTATCTGTTTCACTGATTTATAAATACCATTGGCAGTTGTATTTCATCTTTATTTTTCTAAAGCTTACACTTTACTGGAAGAGATTGAGCACACCGTCTAGTCATTCTAGTTTGATTGCTTTCCTTCTGGAGATATGATTTTTGAGGTTTTTACATTATCAGGGGGCAATTCCTCAAATCCTTGAGAAAACGAAAGATGATTTCTTTTCCAAAATTGTTAATGTACTGAGAGAAGCTGCAGACATTTGCTATTATGGAATTAAAGAGATCCCTTGCATTTCTTGCCCAAGCAAACCTGAAGGATCTATGTTTGTAATGGTAAGGATGTAGAAAATTTGATAATGATTTGTGATTCAAATTGGGTGGGTCAAATATGTCTGTTACGACAATTGGTGCTTTTATTTTAGGTGAAACTAAATCTGTCACTCCTGGAAGACATTAAAGATGATATTGACTTCTCTTTCAAGCTGGCAAAGGAGGAGTCTGTGATTGTTCTACCAGGTAAGAAGCAAACAAATTAAGCTCCTAAAGCTAGTTCAATGCTAACATTTTTTTAGCACTCTTTTTTATATTAGCTTGTAAACTTCATGAGCTGTGTAACTACTTGTGAAATCTGTTGTTTATTTCTCTATCTGTCAGTTAAATGTTAAAGAAAATAATATGCCATCAGTATTTCTGTGCCTTGTGATGCATTACACTCTGAAATTTGTGATGAAATTTGTGATCCTTATCTTGCTGACTTGGCAACAACCGCATGGTGAAGAGCGAGGGCTAAAATTTTATGAGACTTCATTCTTACTCGTTGGAATTGTATGTGTTTATTAAACTTTAATGCATCAAAGCATACTTAGTTTGTAGACTGAAAACCCTAACAGATAGTTTATTGAATGGAGACTTGCATTGTTTTGTTATAGCAAGTACATAAATCCATAATATTTGTAGGCATGCAACAGGGGAAGAGATTGAACTATTCTATAATTGTGACAGTGCGAAAATTCTAGATGTGGTGGTTGTTGTTGTCACATTTCAGTGATCTGAAGTTTTTAACTTCTTTCATCCTCCTCGTCGCACATTTTCAGTTGGGCTTTTATTTCCTGTGGTATGTTGTTCTAGATATCTTAATCTTCCAGTTTCAAGAGAGTGTAGAATTTAAGAGCACTTCATTTCTTGTGTGATTCTATTGTTGGTTTCGAATGAATTGCATCCTAGAGCTCTGACAAGGTAATCCTCAAATGATTGTTTTGGGGCTATTTTAACGACATCAAAAGCAAAAGAATAACTGAAGATATGATTTTAAACCAGTGACTACAGAAGAGAATTGTTCCCAACTCATTTCTCATAATTAACAGGAATGACATTTGAATCATATGCCTTTCTTTGTTTTCTATGACAATTTACAATGTTGTAGTTTGATCTTTAGTCTAGTTAGATGTCTGTTCAATTTTTCAATTTTTTTATTTGTTCAACCTCTTGATAAAAATTGTGCTTCTCTTCAAATATTGACGTTCTGCATAGCATTTAATAAAAATACATTTAGGGTCTTACATATGAAATTCTAAAACAAAACTGAATTGGAACTAAGATGTTTGGATTTTGACTAATTTGGACATTTTTTGCATACAAAATCGCTTCAGCTGGAGGGTATTTCAAAAAGAAATGGTGGTTATGAATTGTGGTAGTTATGGTAACAACAGCAGTTTCACTAGTTTTGGCACTATCTCAGTGCTTCCAAATTTAATAGACATGACAATTGGGAATGGAAAATTTTACTGAGACTACAGTATTCAAATCATTGGGTTCAGTGTCCTTACTGAATGTGTTTTGTCACAATCTTATTTTAATGTACCTTAAGGAGTATACTTCTTGGGTTTTTGATTTTGGCATCTTACTTGCGAAATTGCAAATAAATCACTGACATCTAATAATGTCCTTTGTTTGCAGGGGTGGCTGTAGGACTAAAGAATTGGCTCCGCATAACATTTGCCATTGAGCCATCATCTCTTGAAGAAGGCCTGGGGAGAATAAAAGCTTTCTACCAAAGGCATGCTAAGAAGCAATAAGGTAGGTGACATTGATGCATCAAGCTATTTGAAGTCATGAAGTCTCGACGAAGGGGTCATGTTTCCTCTCTAGTAACTTGGTTGTTGTGCAGAATTTGAATTTGAAAAGTGTGATTCAGGTGTTTACTGTTGAGCAACAACTGCTCATTGATCTCACATCCTTTCAAATTAATAATCTTTCCTGTTCCTCAAGGGTAGTATTAGTAGCTCAAGCCTTGAATATCGTGTAATAAGGACACAAGATGGTGGTGGTGATCAGCAACTCCTTGTTGGATGTCACGCTTCCTCTCATTATTGTAGTTATTATTTTCAATAATTTATTCAGCATTCAAGTGTTGTGACTAAACAATTGTTTTCTTTTTGCATTTATTTTCAATTCTGAAAAGTTCCAAAATGCAATTACATAGTAGTCCCAGTCCCAGCAGCAAACTTTCTTAAGATGAAGATCAATTGATGGATCTGTTCTCATGCTTTTTGCATGTGCTCTCTCTGTTTTTATGTACTGGATTGTAGTCTGCTGGCTGGTTGGCTGATGATAAGTTGAAAATATCACTCCAGCTGTTGAGTTACGTAGCTCATGTAACAATGAAGCTAACAATTTGATTCAAGGAATATATATATATATATAAACATATATTAATGGCTTAGAGGGCATGATGTTCCTAATCTCCAGTAAAAAGAGATCAGAATCAATCTTAGAGATGTGTACCCCTTTGGCATTTTTGTTGTGTAGGCAATTTCATTCTAAATTATGTATTTTTTATATTTTAGCTTAGTCGAGTCCATGGACAAAGTTTAGTAGTTGAATTTTCAAGATGGTGATGCAAAGCTCTAATGGTGTGATTGAAAAAAGAAAAACGTGCCCCGATGAGAAAGGTAAAATCATACATTGCATTATCATTCCATTTAGATTTTGTTTTTGTTAGGTTTTTGGTTGGATTTTAATGACCACGGATAATTTAATGGGAGATTTATGGGCCGGTCATATTGAACAGATTTATTTTCCCGTAATTTTTATCTTATATCGTCAGAATTAATTATGTAGAGACTCAAGTTGAGTCTATAGAATCTAAAATAGACAATTTGGGTTCTATAATAAATATTGACTTAAATAAAGAAGCAAAAAATCAAATAAACAATTTGGTGAATAAATTAGAAACTATATCCTTCATAAACAATGATGGAATGAATAGTCCAGGAGATAGTGACATCCCTAGGCTATTTTATGGTACAGAAGATATTATGGTACTTCAAACCAATACGTATTGGATTATTGGAGAAAATTATATAAAGACCCAGACTTGGGTATTGATGAAAGAAATAGGCTACTGGATCAGATAAGAGAAACTTATCTAGAAAATGAAGCCCTTTTACAACACTTTACTTATGATATGAATATGTCAACTAATGATGATGACAACCAATCATCCACATCTGAAGAATCAATAGATCAAGATATTTCATCAGAAATAAATAAAGGGAAAAGAAAGGCAGACGAGCCAATTGATCCCGAATTTTTTGGCACATGGGGAGATGGAGAAAATTTTGACTTTATTCAAACAAATGAAGTTAAAAATGATACTACCATTGGAAGTACCTCCAATCCTACACCTGAGCCAGTAATATCTAGAAAAGATAATAATCATAAGTATCCAATAGCTCAAAATGGTACTTATTTAGACTTGTCTCATGTTCCTTTTAAGGATCAACCACAAGCAATAGATGATTGGGCACAATCCTTGTCCATCATTATTACCAATTATAAAAATAGTTGGTCAAAGGAAAAATTCCTTAATTATATTGCAGCAACTCTCCAGGGAGATGTGTTGCAATGGTTAAGACAGTGGGAAAAATCTAAAATTGAAAAAATCAAAAAACAGCTTTGTTGGCAAATTTTCTCACCCTTGACACAATTTTAGCTAAATTTGCAAAAATCATAAAAGAAAATTTATGTGGTTTTGCAGGAGATACTAATTTGCAAGCAGATGCAAATTATATTTTGACTAAATTAGAATTATGTAATATTTGTCTTTTTGAAGATTATGTTCAAACTTTTAAAAAATATTATTATCTTATTGATCCACCAGCAAATCAACCCTGGTTAGATCAATTTTTTCATAAACTCCCTAATCCATGGGATGAGTTATGTATTAAAACATATCCTGATTTTCTCAAAAAAAATGGGGAAGGAAGAATATGATAACCTTGGTTTTCGCATTAATTATGTTCTAAGACTAATAGCAAATCGGTGTCTAGAAGCAAAGGCGAAAAAAAAATAAAAAATTAAATTTCTAACTCACCATATGGTCAAAAATGTTGTGATAAAATTTTAAAAGAAAATTAGAAAATTGGTTGTAATACATTTCCTAAAAGAAAAGGATTTTCCAAAAAACGTAGAAGATATAAATGGCTATCCTCCTTGAGTTTGAGGGGGACTGTTAAAACTACTCCACTACTCCACCTACTCCACTACACCTACTCTCCACCCACATCTCCTATATAAAGGAGACCAACCATGTACATAAAATATATCAATCATAATACATACAATTTATTCTCTCTGTAATTCTCTCTCTATCAATTTATCTTACATGGTATCAGAGCTAGGTTAACAACTTAGTAATTCCGCTTCACCCGCGGGCAGCAGCCTCGCCTTGGCCGCCCGCCGGACCTCTACACATACCTTCACTCCGCTGCCACAAATTCCATAACTGAACTGAACTCTTGTCTCTCTGAGGGAATAATCAACACCTTCACACCAGTGAGGCCGTGGATATGGATCACAGGTCCGTCTATGTTGTAGCTCTATCTGCATTGTCGTCGCCGGCGTTGGAGGTCAATCTCCGGCCACACCAACTTTAAAAGCTCCCTCTCTCTCGACTGGATTTCAGATCTTTTTGGTGAGTAGATGTAGCTGTTGTGGCCAGCCACATCACAGCCCATTGCTGCCACTCTAGGCGCCATCGTCGTCACCGAAGACCCACGCCACCTTGCACACCATCGGCGGTTACAACTGTGGCTACCATTGATGCCGCAACAGCTTCGGCAGCCACGGCTCCACTTTTCACTCATCTCCGCCACTTCCATTGTCTCGCCAGAGCCACCGATCCTCACCACCACCATCATGGAAGCAGCAGCAGCTCATCTTCACTCATAGTCTCCGCTCCGCTGTACACGGCTGAAATTAACGCTGTACACGGCGGTTGCAGACGATGTGGGATTGTGCTTCCAATCAGGTTGCTTTCCAGAGGGGATATAAGTGGTGCCCATGCAACTCAAACCAACTTGGCCAAATTGTCCAACTGGAAAATGATTATATACCACCATGTGCGGGGGACCTTGGACCCGTGAAGCTTTTGGTATCTGAAACAGAAACAGAACAAGTCTCCAACCCATACTTTTTCTTTTTCCTTCTTTCCACACACTCATGTTCCCCACTCAACTTTCTTTTCCTTTTTTTTTTCTTTTCCTTTTTTTATATTTATTTTACTCCATCTTTTGACAAGAACACGAAACACAAACTGGTTTGCACACCCATCATCTTCCTTTTCCATTAGTGGTAGGACCCGCCCAAACACATTTGAATCTCCCATTTCCTTTTTATTTTTTATTACTTTAACCTTCACACATTTCTCTTCACCTTTATTCACACACTTCTCTTCTTTTTTATTTTCTTTTATACTTTATTTTCTCACCCTACCTCTCTATTTTTAGCCTTCAAGCTAAATATGCATGGTAGAGTTTATAAGGTTCTAATGTTTTTAGGAACTTTAATATTGTATATAATCTTCTATTCAACAAAGATCCATAACCACAAAAAAAAAAAAAAAAACAAAAAAAAAAAAAAAAACAAAAACAAAAACCACACAAGACCACCATCACCACAACAAAAGATTTGTTTTCTTTTCTGCAGACGGCCACCCACCGACCTCACTTCTTCTCTACTCTGCCGCCGGTCTCTTCTTCTTGCCTCCGTCTTGGACGGCCCTTGACGGTGTTGCCTCCGTGTTTCCCACGCCGCCAAGCCCGTTCCCTCCCCCTTGCTCCTCCACTGCAGCATATGGCGGACCTCCAAATCGGAACATAACGGTGGCCTTCCGCTTCAATTCCTTGTTTTCCGCTTTTAGCACACATATCTCTGCTCGCGCATCCTTATACATGCGCTGGAGCAGAGCCAGTTGGGCGTTTAACTGCTGCACCTCATTTGTCCTACTCTGAAGCCGGTGCGACAAGTTTGTCACTGCAGTCATCGTCTCCACACATGACTTCAATGTATACTGATTGGCCTCAATATTTGATTGCGCTGCCATTATTTGCTCCACAGACCGCATAGGAAAGGTCAACGGAGCAAACCCAGGGGCACTTGGTTGAGGTTCCAGGGCAACTGCACCAGTTATCTCTCTTGTGGACTCGTTGAGGTCTGGAAAGAGAGTGAGCAGACCACGGGAAGAAGAGGCCATGTTTTGGGTTGCTCAGTGTTTCAGAGAAGCAGCGATTTCAGACTGGTAATATCAGAAAGGATTGGTTGCAGAGTGTTTCAGAATGCAAATATTCAGATGTTTTAGACTCGTTTGGTTTGCACAGCCTCCGCATCGGTTTATAAAGACAATGACGAAGAGGACGACACGCGCTTTGTCGATCACGTGCATCGCCGCGTGTCTGGCGCGACTTTTGATGGCTCGCCGCTCGATGATTTCTGTCGGGCACGACTTTTGATGCAGTGGGCGCGCCTTTTGAGGGCTCGATATATATATACATGTATATCTTTTGGGCAGCCTATATACACACTCATACAGTGTCTTTTACAACGGTCCGGCATGACCCCATAAACTGTCCCGACATTGATTCCGGTTAGCTTTTACAACGGTCTGACATGACCTCGTAAACTGTCCAGACATTATCTGCTACAACGGTCTGACACAACCATACAGTGTCCTCTACAACGATCTGACATGCCCGCACAGTGTCTTCACCAACGGTCCAACAGGACCATACGGTGTCTCCTACCCTCTTTTATTTTATGTATTAGTCTATTTTCTTATTTTGTTACTCTTTCCAAACTCAAGTTGATTTGTGTCTATCCTCCTTGAGTTTGAGGGGGACTGTTAAAACTACTCCACTACTCCACCTACTCCACTACACCTACTCTCCACCCACATCTCCTATATAAAGGAGACCAACCATGTACATAAAATATATCAATCATAATACATACAATTTATTTTCTCTGTAATTCTCTCTCTATCAATTTATCTTACATTACGGGCCGGTCATATTGAACAGATTTATTTTTTCGTAAGTCTTGGTCATTTTTTCACCTATCAATATCCTCAAAGCACCCTTCTTACACCTCCTTTTAACAACTCAATCATCATATCACTGTCATGAGCCACCACTGTCCACTTCTAG